TCAAAAGGAACCGCGGCATCTACTTTGCAGAGATCCCTCTGGCCTGATTCTTGAAGGATGTGACCACTGCAGCCAGTGGGGCCAGGAAATGCATGCATAATGCTCTCTGATTACCGCTGGGCTGCCAGCAAGCCCTGCTATTGCATGTCGTTCATTTCTAAGCAGGAATGGAATGGTAGCTTTTCATTTATTTATAAAAAATGAAAAAATATTTTAGAAGCCCACGCCCTGATAATGGCTAGGAGTTAGAGTTTGACAGGGGACCCTTTGATGCCTTGCCTCCCTGAAACTTCTCTACCTTATACTTTACCAATTTTCCATTTTTATGGGCTATGTGTCTTTAATGTAACTCAGATGTCTGTGGCTTCAAGAGGAATTATATCCAACTTACAATAGGCCCAATACAACGTGATTAGTTGGTGGATATAACTCATATGCATCTCAAGGAGCCTTAGAGGGAGGAGACATCAAGCAAGACATCAAGACCTGTGCCCTGAGCTTGTCACTCTGTGACAATTTTCTGCATGTCCTCTATGTACCAGGCACAGGGCCAGGCACTTGAAGGTTGTCTATCAAGAAGATACAACTTTGTCTCCACGAAGCTCAGACTCCAGCTGGGCAGAGGCACTGAGAATCCTTGTGCTGGTCCAGGGATGGAGGCTGGGATGTGCTGAACAGAAAGCACAACCTTTGCACCCCAACAGCGCCATCCAAATCCCAGCCTCTCCAGCTGTGACATCTTCAGCAAGTTCTAGCACAGTGGTGGCAAACCTGTTAGAAACAAGTACAGAAACTACATCCCAAACCCACTTATGTGTCACAAAATGTCAACACTGCAATTAAACCAGAACACTTTGGTATCAGTTTAGGGAAAAAAAACAACTGCTATCTGACGCTCAGCCATTGGGGTGACTCAGCTCATGTGCCAACAGAGAGAACTCTGTGTGCCTGCTGTGGCACACGTGCCATAGGTTTGCCACTATTCCTAGAAGTTCTGTGAGGATCAGTTTTCTTCTAAAAGTGGAGATGACCATCTGCCTCCTTGTTTGCTGTGAAAGCAGTCAGATAAACCATGAAAACGTCACTGTGACACTTGACCCATGGTAGGTTACAGATGGTAAACAAGTCCACCCCACCACACACAGGGCAACTGCATCAAGAGGAGCTGCAGTGGAAGTGTTAGGAAGGATTCCTGGCACACTCTGACTCAGCAAGATAGAGATCTATACTCAGTTTGCATTGCCTGGCTTAGGAGTAAGAGGTGGTGGCACATACACCACCCGCTGAGTCCAGGAAATGCTGGACTTCATCTGAATAGGCCAACTTCTATAATCCGGAAGCTTCATGCCAGTGCTCAGAGTGAGAAAAATCAGCTGTGCCCGGCTGAGGCCATGCATCGCCCAACCGCACAACCAGACCCCACCCAGCTACTCTTCTAGGTGCTCCAAATACAACCCCCCAAAGCCTCCCTCAGCTACCAGTGTCACCCCCTGCTTCACCTGTGCACAGGCAGAGAAAGACACTGGCAAGCTAGCCTTGCCCAGAGCCCTCATCCCACTCAGCACAAAAACTACAGAAAAACCCGTTTCAGACCTGCCTCCTGGAGCCATCCGAGAATGGGGAGTTTGACAAAGGTGACAAGACTCACCTCTTTCTACTTTCCGTAGAGTTCCCTGCCACTCCAGTCAAGCTCTTTCTCTTTTTCCTCCTCCTTCTCCTCCTCCTCCTCTTCCTCCTTCTCCTCCTCCCCCGCCTCCCTTTCCTCTTTCTTCTCCTCCTCCTCATCCTCCTCCTACTTCTCCTTCTCTTCCTCCTTCTCCTACTCCTCTGCCTTCTCCTTCTCCTCCTCCCTCTCCTCCCTCTCCTTTTTCTCCTCTTCCCCTTCCTCCCTCTCTTCCTCCTCTTCCTCCTTCTCCTCTTCCTCTTCTTAAGAGTCTCACCTCGTCTTCCTCCCTCTGAGCAAACAGTGAGGAGCACAGAGTGGAGATCTCTCAAAGAAGCCATGGTCATAGGGACAGGTAACACCTGCCTCCACTCATCCTCTCCAGGGTAGACGGGTAGAGCTCGGCACCCCAGAGCTCAGGGGAAACAGACAAGGGGCACTTCTTCAGTCCTCAGCATATGCCAGGCACCCAGCTCTGTGCATCACTGATCTATACCATGCCACTGACACAAGGTTGCAAAGTGGGCTTCATTAGCAACTCTGGCCCCCAAGGAATGCTGAGTGGAAAGGGACTCATCCAAAGTGAGGCAGCTAGGATCAGGGAGGAAACCCCATTGCTCTAGCTCTGCCCAAACTGAACTGACTTCCCTCTGCTCCAAACTGTGCTGAGCTCCCTCTGGTCCCCTTGAAAGGCAGAGGATCTCCCCAAGAGGAATAGGAAGGGCAATATGTCCACCTGGAGGGTATGGACTGGCACACATGTAGTGCTTACGCAATGCCACAGAATGGATTTTTACACATTAAAAGGTATCAGGACCCATTCATTAAATGGTTCTACAAACACTAGCTGAGTGCCTACCGTTCATTCACACATTAATTCACACATGCACACTCAACAGGTTCATGACCTTACTGAGTACTGTGTGCCACTACTATTCTAGGTGCTGGGGAGAGACGGAAGACATCCATTTCCTGCCTTCGTGGTGCTAACAATTCAATGTATGGAGCCGGAAGAAGGGATATACATAAATTTATATATGCATGAAATAATTTCAGACAGGGATACATGCAATAGTCAGAGAGTCATTCCAAAGAGAGAAAATTGAGATAAATTCTGACCAGAGGAAAATAAACAGCCACTCAAAAATATGAGGAAGTGACATTCAAGAAAGGCAAGAGGAGTAGCTTATTCACCCCAAGGAACCTGGTATTTATGAGCTGGGGTTGAAGAGTGAGGGAAGAATGGTAACAATGGAAGGGATGGAGCAGCGTGCTACTCTCAGGGGCCTGCCTGCCAGGGCACACACCAGCTAAGCAGAGGTTTCTGCACAGTTGAGGGATAAATCTGTAGCTAAGCCTTGGTCATGGCAGACCTTGTATGGCAGGCCAAAGAAATTCAACTTCATCCTGAAGGTGAGAGAGAGACAGAGACAGAGACAGAGAAAGAGAGAGACAGATCATTCTATGGGCAGAGAGGGGTGATGGCAAAGGACGAGGTTAGCAGGGACACTCATAGGAAGTCATTGCAATTATCCCAGAGAGGAAGTAATGAGAACTGGACTTAACGCAGCTGCATAGGGGTTGGAAGAAGGACAGTTTAGAAAGGTAAAGTAGGCAGGACTTTAATGATTTGAATGTGTAGTGAGAGTGACCCATGAGCAAGGAGATACCAGGATAAAGCCTGCTCACCCTAACTGACCTTAGCAACAGCGCTCTGAGCTGGGCTCTATCGGGCTTGCCCTCCCTGGTGGGCCTGTTCACTGTTTAACCCCCATCACAGGTGAGGCCTCCCTGGCGTGGGCAGGCCACATTCCCCTGGAGACTCCTTCTCCGACTCCACCTGATCCTGTTCAACCCCCAGGGCCAGACCTTCAGGGTTCCTTGGCCAGGCCTGACCCTGGCCCAGCCCCTGCCTTGCAGAGTCTAAGACCATCATAGTAGACCGGAGCCCCCTTTTCATCACCTCTTCCTGTGGGCCTAAAAGCCTCAATTCTCCTCCGCCTGGGCTCCATTCCTGGACATGCTGAATGAGACCCAGTGGAGCCATCAGGCACCACAGACCAAAAGTCTGCAGATGAAGCAGAGAGCACAGATCACTCAAAGATGAATGGGCCCTGGGTCTCTGCCCAGTTGACCCACAGCAGCAATCCCTTAAAAAGTACAGTGACAGGTGCTAGGAATTTAGCTCAGCGACAAAGTACCTGCCTCCCAAGAGTGAAGTCCTGAATTCGATTCCTGGTTCCAAAAAAATAAAAATAAAAAAGTGCAGTGACAGAGAGTACTTATGGAGTCACACTGACCCAGGTGCAGATGTATCTCATCCTCATCTCTGTCTCTGTATCTGTAGGACAAGGGTAATAAAGGTACCTGTGTCATACTTACTGCTCTAGGTTCTAAATTAAATTGTGTGTAGGATGTAGTCAGCGCAGTGTTTGCTTTAACGTTAGATGGCAATCACTCTCCACCTGTGTATGATGATCCATTAGTCATTAATGCTTCTTCTCTTACCAAAGTATTTCACCAATGCTCACATGTATGAGTGGCTTCCACATTTTGTCATCCCCTTAACCAGAAGAGCGATGGGAAGAACACCAGCTGTAGATGCTTGGTCATTCTCTGGTGGCACTCAGAGGTCACAAGACAACTGTAGGCACAGGGCTGATGATTGACATGGTAGCATCCTGCCTAAGAACCACCAACCATGGCCCAACCAACAGTTCAGTATGTACAAGTTTTCATAAATCTTTTCCAGAAGAAATCTACTGTCCAGACTCAAGACTCAGCCTTCTCACAAGTTACCTCATCGCAATCACAGCTGCTCTAACCCCCACCTCCACTGTGACCCCCAAGACTCTGCTCACCTTTATTCTTCAGACATAGGCATCCCATGTGAACAGACACTGGGCTGCCCATCAGAGGGGGCAGCACTGCCTTCCTTCAAGCTTCTCACACACTGAGAAAGGTAGCCAACTGTACTAGTTGGGCATTTTATGGCCTGAAAGCCACACCCCATTCCCCATTCCACTGCTGATCATGCAGTGGTCAGCAGTGTATGATCACTTCCCTACCCAGGAAGTAACACATCACAGTGAGTGACATTTGAATCTCTACCTCTGGGGGGCACTGTGGAGCAAGGTGGTAGATGAAAAGGAAGCCTCTGAAGTGAGTCATCTGTGATCACTGGCACAGTGTTAACCTAGCATGCACCAGAGGAGGCCCAAGGCATCATGGGCACTATTTGCCAGCAGAGCCAAAGAAATATATATCCCAAGGACCTTTATAAACACATGAGAGGTCACAAAACCAGACCCAGGTAAAATATAAGACACTTACCAGGTAAAATATAAGACACTCCAGGTACATTTGAATTTAATATGCACAAGTAATTTTGTTTTTGCAGTGCCAACAATTGAAACTAGGACCTTTGCACAGAACTACATCCCTCAGCTGATACTTTATTTTTTGTTTTGAGATAGAGTCTTGCCACGTTGTCCTGGCTTGGCTTAAATTTGCAGTCCTCATCCCTTAGCCTTCCAGAGTGTCGGACTATAAGCACATGCCACCAGGCCCAGCTACAAGTGACTTTTAAATGTAACTGTGCTCCATACTAAGATCATGCAGTTGTAATTATTTGTGTATTCAAAACTTAAATTTAAATGTGGCATTCTATTTTTGTTTGGTTCATTTGTTTTGCTAAATCTGGCAAGCCTAGACTAAAATGTCACCAGGCGTAGACAAGGAAGACACTGGCTGCCGGCCCAAGATCACTGGGAGCTGGGCGAGCTTTCCATGGTAGGCCTTGTGGAACCCACCTGATGCCCACCCCAGATGGAGTAAGGACAATCAGAGGCTTTGACTGCGACTCAGCAACTGTGGATGCACAAACTACAGAGAGCCATGCTTGTGTTAAACTATATTTGATTAATTGGTTTGTCTTCCCAAGTCTGGGCCACATTTCTTAGACTTCTGTGCATAACCTGGTCCATCCAGAGGGGGTCCTAGAAGTCACAGCCATCCACCCAGTCGCTCAGGTCCTTGCCCTGGCAGTGACGCCTCCAGGTCTCCCTGAGGACAGAGAACAAGCAAAGAGATTACATCAGCTGCAACCCCAGGCACTGCTCAGAGACACTTCTCAGAACACGCAGGAGACGCTGGCTCTACACTGGGGGAGGAGAGGCAGAAAGAAGGGGGGCACAAGTATACTGGGTGAACAAGCAGGGAAGCCTCTAGAGAAAAAAAGAGTGCAAAGGAAGAGTATGGTCTTAAAAATTCAATATCTAGCTTCCTTGTATGCTGTTTGCCCACAAGTCACCAGCAAAGACCTAGAGTCTGAAACTTAGGTGTGAGGCTTTTTTCCTACACCCTCATGTTTCAGTGACAGTGAGTGACACCACATTACATGTATGCAGCCCTTTGTGGTACACATAGCACCATTACATCTGTCACCCATTTATCACCACCACCTTTCCAGGCCCCAGCAGCCCTTATGTAGATTGGGCAGATATTATGTTCCAGTTTTCTTGATGAAACTCACCCTGAGATGTAAATACTTCCCAAAGTCCACAGGTAGTAAATGACGGAAGTGTGCCCACACCCAGCCCTCTCAGGCTGCCAATCTGGGTATTTCCATCATTGGTTACTACTGTTTATAGTCTCTTTCAGGACCATTACCTTGTTCTAGCTCGCTGTTGATATCTTGAGAAGATAAACAAGACCATAGGTCCTAGGAATCCAAGTTCTCAGGAGTCCCAATTTCTAATTCCTAATGCTGTCCATCATGTCAAGGTAACAGAGCCCAGTGATCAAGAGTGCCCTAAAAGACCTCTATAAACCTATCAAACAAGAGATATCGACTAGCTTGTTCATGCCTTCCTCCAGTCTGTAAGATCCTTGAGGGTGAACTCTCAGCTCCTTCTGAGCCTGGCACCAGCGCCAACCCTGGTACACCTGAGTCCTCAGTGCCAGTGTATATCAGGAAGGAAAAAGAGCCCCCTTCCATCTTCTGGGCCACTTCCTGTGTTTAGCCTCAGACACCTCTCAGGGGTTCTCACCCCTGAAATTTTCTTCCAGCATAGAAAAGAGAGCTCTTTTTTCAATTTATTTAACTCATAAGGGTAAATTTCTTCTATCCCAAGAGGGTGGTCCCCAGATCTCAAGCCTTTGGGTCAGTGCCTGAACCTGCATTCTCCCCTCCCTATTTTATTTTTATGTTTCATTACTGCATGTTAATTATATAAAATATTGCATTTCAATGTAGTACGTTTATACATGTACATAACATGTTCTGATCATATCCATCCCCTTACTCTTCCTTATATCTTCTTCCCCTTTATATGCTTCCTTTTGCCTGATAATAGTCTCCTTTTTACTTTTACACCATCCTTTTTTTCCCCCCCTACATATTAGGGAAAACAGGTAGTACTTGACTTTCCAAGTCTGACTTATTTCAATTAACAGGCTGATCCCCACACCCATCGATTTTGCTGCAAATGACATAATTTTACTCTCCTTTAAGGCTGAATCTTCCCTGATGCTGTGACATGCATTGCATCCTACAGAGATGGCCTGATCCCAGAGGCAGTTCCTTTAACAGTTCTCACACCGACACATGTCCACAGTTGTGGCCATTTCAGGGCCCATCTCTAACCCTTCTTTACACTCACAGTCACTTGCACCTCTTCCTCTCCCTCCTGGGTTGCGTCTCACCAGTCCTTTTATCCAACAGTCCATTATGCACAGCTCCTCTTGAGTCCATCACCTGTACATCTGTCCCTGTCCAGACCCTACATCTCGCCCTGAGACTCCTGCAAAAACATCCAAGCAGTCTTTTCCAGCCTTGCCTCTACTTTCTCCTCCTTTCTTCTGCTCTTGGGCCAGTATTCAGTGGTCTCAAATTTCCCTCCCCAGCCTTACCAGCTGTCACATCTGTCCAGGGTCCTGATCCTCCAGCACCCAGACACTGCCCCTAACCTTCTGTTTTCTCATCCAAAAGTGTGAAGGTAAGGAAGGTTGGAAACTAGGAAACCCCTATCAAATGAAACTGGGCAGCTGTGGGACCCCTCAGAGAGGACAGACTCAGAGGCTGCTGCACGAACCAACCGCCTCATCCAGTGCCTCATGCAGTGTTCATCCAACTCTCTTGTCAACTCTTCGGCCACTTGGCGGGAGATGGGGAAAGAGAAGGCTGAAAGTGGGAGTACCCAAGCCCTACTTCTGCTTCAAGCAGAAAACCTCTTTTTTGATCTCTTACACATCTCGAGATTTACATAAAATTTAGTTTTTATGTAAGTGAATCCATAGGTTAAAAAATACAGTCTTCTTAGACCCCAATCTAAAATATCTTTAAGCCGACATCACAGAACAGGCAGATCTTGGAGAAGCCAGGCTTGACTGCATAGCCAAGTGACTGCCAATGGACTATCTGTCCTCCCTGAAACTCTGTGCCATCTGTAGACACCTCAGTGGTGATAATGCCCACCACAGAAAGGAATTGTGAGGGACACAGAAAGGTGCCTGGGACAAAGTGAGCGTTGCTAAGGGTTAACTCCTGTTAACCATCAGTCCCGTCTACATTTCCTTGGAGAGAGGGCTCCATCCCAAGTTACTTACCAGTAGCCCAGACCCTGGGGCTCTTGAGCAATCTTCATGGCACAGACAACGGTATCCTTGAGGTCAGGGCTCAGCAAGTCTGGGGTGGAAGGGAGAGATACACAATGAAGGAGGAAGGGGAAGCACTGGGCATCTAGGGTGTCTCCCTTTGTCCCTCTATCCCTCTGTTTCTCTCTCCCTTTCTCCCTTTCTCCCTCTCTCCCTCCTCTCTTTCTCTCCTCCTCCTCCTCTTCCTCTTCCTGCTCCTGCTTCTGCCTCCTCTTCTCCTCTCCCTTTCTCCCTGTCTCCCTCTCTCCCTCTCTCCCTCCTCTCTTTCTCTCCTCCTCCTCTTCCTCTTCCTGCTCCTGCTTCTGCCTCCTCTTCTTCTCTCCCAATCTCTGAATCACAAGTGCTCCTCTCTCTCTCTTCCTTCCATCCTGTAGCTCTAGGGCCCACCTCCCAGGTGGGACTCCATATCAGATTCATGGAGTGCCCACCTCATTGCTTCTTGCAGATCTGTCTCCTGGGGGACCTGCTCTCGGACATAAAGACAGGAGGAACAAAATGAACTGGGAAGAAGCGCACTCTGGTATAAGGCCCAACCCCAAATAGCCTAAGACAACACAGGCTCATCCTACCAGAGCAGTACACCCGGCACTGGTTGTGGGAGTTCGGGGTGAGATTTTTGCACCACCTCCGGCTGTTGATCTGGAAAATGCCGTTGTTGGTGCTTCCATCTGCCTCATGGTCCACAGCACCCGTATTGAAGCCACTTGTGAAGTAAGCAAGGCAGACCCCTGTGTGAGCAGAGATAGACCTGGTGTCAGATGGCCAGGCCCCTGCAGACCAGAGTACTCATGGCACAGGTCCCACGTACTGGCTCCCAGCCTCGCTCACTTCAAAATGACCAAGGCAGACACTTTCCCACCTGCTCTGCAAATGGATCAACCACGGTTGAAGAGGATATAATGACTTCCCAATCATCACATACAGCTACCACATAGCAGGAGTCAAGACTGGATCTCAGGTCTTGGAACTCTTAGGCTAGCAATCTTCCTGCTTTTTCATTGATCAATGCACAGTAGGGCTCAATGTGTTCGTCAAGTTAATTCATTAGAGCCAGGTCTTTAGAGGCAAGATGAGGAAGACAGGATGGGATGTACAAAGGGGACTGAACAAAGCCTCTCTCCTCGAGTCAGCGCCATTCACAGACTGTGGGGGAGAGAACCAGGCCTCCCCCGGAGGTGATCCCCACCTGGAAACCATATCACTCTCATTGTTTTGTTGAGTTCTCTTTTGATTTGATTATGTTAAATCTGAAAGCATGAGCAGCTATTTAAAAGATAGCAAGACATATTATGGTAGCCACTTTGGATTTACTAGTGGCTTGTTTTGAAGTCCTTTATTGCATTTATTGCTTTGTTTTTATTGTTTCTGTTCGATTTTTACTATGTCCAAAGGTATCTGCAACTGTTTTGAAGACCACAAAAGGTGTTATGGTAACTATTGATTCTGTAAGGTTTTGAAGTCCTGTATCACTTATATTGCTTTAGTTTGATTGCTTCTATTGTTTATTTTCCTTGGTTTTATCCTCTTTAAAATAAAATAAAGATTAAAAAATAAAAAGGGTGGACTAAACAAATGAGTTCAAATGTGACTACACTTCACAGACAGCTTCCCAAAGCTTGAAAAGTTTAGTAGCATGATTTGTCCAGCTTGCTTCCTAAATTCAGTAAGGATATCTATGAAAAGCCCTTCCCAGACCTCACCACAGTTCAGTGAAGTTTATATTTGTAATCTCATGGAAAAGTTATTGCAGTTCCAATAAGTTAATTCCAATCTACCACTTCCAGTACAACCTATGGCAAGAATGAAAACATTAAGGCATATTAGTAGTTGTGGAGAGCCAAGGGGGTCCTAAGTCCAGCCAATATGATGGCTAGCTGGAACAAAAGCCAAACTCAGATTGTATTCATTTGTGAGGAGAGGAGTGGCTAGGGGATGAGAGACTGTGAGAGGGGTGGGAAGTACAGGAATGCTGTAAGCTGGGCCAGGTAAGAGGCCTGAAATCACCTCTGCAGCACAGAGAGAGAGAAAGAGACAGAGACAGAGACAAAGACAGAAGGAGAAAAACAGAAAAAATAATCTACATAAAACAATTCGGGCCAGTATCTAATATTTTGGGGTCAGTATTTCAGCTCTGATGTGTAATTTTTTATGCCCTCAGAAGTGATAGCCCCTTATCTTGAGGCTCTGTCCCAGTTGACAGTGTTGCTCTCTCTGCCCAGCTCATACAAACTTCTCATGAACTGTGGGGTGGGCAGCACTGACCTGTGGCCTTGCTTTAAATTCTACACACCAGCACCTCAGCTGGAACCATTCACATTGCTTAAAGCCAATTGAGGGGATAAGGAAATGTCCCAGCCTGCTCTGCACACATCAATTCACAGAAATAGGGCTAGGTTTAGCCAAAATGGAGACGATTGCTCTTCTCTCAAGGCAAATCATCCAGGCGGTCCTCCATAGGTGTCTGCTCCACATGGCCATGATTAAGTTTATTGGGCTAAACTGGTCTGTTCTTTAACTCCTGGCTTTGCCATTAGAGAAAAATGAAGGGAGAGTTCCAATTTGGCCCCTGCTGCCTGCCTATTCTGTGTTTAACTCAGGGCTGGGCCTTCTCTATTATCTCACTGACTCCTGCTTTTAAAAACCTCAAAAAGCTCCCCCTGAAGGCCACACCCCTTGAACAAGGAGGAGGGAGAGAGGGAGTGGAGGGAGGAGCCAAAGGCCAGTAAGCAACAAGGGAAAAGTGTTCTCACAGTCAGCCAGGCTATATCCCCGATAGCCATCCAGGCCGAAGTCTCGAAGCACTCTGGCCAGCTCACAGCGACTGTAGACCTTGGCCTCGTTGGAGTTGAGAAGACAGCTGAGCAGAAAGGCAAAGACCAGCAGTGTCATCACAGGTGAGCACAGTCGACTTCTGAGAGCCCAGCTCCTTCTGGTTTCCATATGGATGGCAGAGGTGGAGCCCCAGATACCCAGGCTCAGAGCTGAGCTTCGGGATGGAAGGCAGCTCACTGGCCCGGGTCTTCCACTCACCAGCAGTTACTCCTTGGAAGAAGAAGGGACAGGTTATCTGAGTGTACCCCTGGGAAAGGAGAAAGGGCATGGACCGAAGATTCTAACAGGGCACCTTAGCTCCTTTGCATCCACCATGAAACACCAGCCATACTCCTAAGACCCCAGAGAAGGTTCCTGAGAGCTGGTCCCCTCCTTTCTAGCCCTACCCAACTCCACTATGGCCAGGCAGCTGAGGAAAGAGGAAGGAAATCAGAGAGAAAACTCACAACTTGAGCTTCATACCACATTATTTAGGCATTATTTAGTCCCAAGGTCCAAGATTTGACCAGTAGGAAGTGTCAAAGTTTGGACTGAGACCAAAGCTGTTGTGAGTCCAAAACCCCACTAGGGTATGGCCCTTAGCTGATAGTCCAGAAGGGATGGGCTCAGCAATCTCACTGGTATAAACCCATCTATAAGCCAAACTGCCAAGGGACCTCCTTTCTAGTGGTCACCTGAAGTGATCTCCTGACCTGAAGTGACATTGTCACTCTGGAGCTCTCTCACACAGAAAACACTCTTCCTCCTCCACACAGAGCCCTGGAAGTTCTGAGAGTCTCTACCCCTACCACAACTCTAAATCATCAACCTTGAAAAATCCCTTCTTCTCCAAAGCTCTCTATCCTATTGCTTTGCTCTCCACCCTCTCCAGTACCTCTGACGATATTAGCTTCTGCTGACTTAGCCTCCTGACTCCTTCACCTCTCCAGGCCTCATGACCTTCACCTCCACGCTGTCCCAGTCACCTATTCCATGGTATTGTTGTCCCATACCTTTCATCACCTGATGTTTCCCCATCTTTGCAATCTTCTGTTCTCATCTATCTCTGACCAATCCCTCTGACACACCTTCCCACCTCTTTCACAACCTATGTCCACCACATCTGCTCTCCACCTTCAGAGTCAACACATAAAACAGTTGTACAACCTGAAAGTGGATGCCCCTGATCTCCAACCCCCCTATAAATGTCCCTGAGGGTGACAAGGTGGCTGATGATATGACTCTACTGTGGGTTCAAAGTTCATCTCTGTCCTTTAGTATATATCAAATTTTGGACACTCCAAGCCTCATTTTCTTCCTCTATAAAGTGAGGAAATTGAAAACACCTGCCTCACAAGCGTATTAAGGGAATAAATGCAAAAATGCATGAAAGAACTTAGCTCTTCATATTAAAAATAGACTAGCTATTGTTTCTACTATGAACCAAAATGAGCACTGGCATTAATACTTTCATGTGGTCAATGTTCTTTCATCTCTCTCAAAGGAAGGTCAGAACCCTCATGAATGTTCCTGAACATCAAGCCCAGATGACCACCCTACTCCTGATGTACTGAAAAAAGCAATAGGATCACTTAGAATCCCAGTCTTCCTATCTTAGCCCCATCCCACTTCAAACTGGTCCAATGCCTCATGCACCCCATCCCCAGTACCCTAGCATTAGGATGAAGTGCCTCCATGCATATATGGGCCAATCTTTCCTACAGGATCTAGATTTCATCTTTTCCTGTCAGTCAGCTCTCCTCCCCTAGCCTCACCAGGACCTCACCTCTATCTGTTTCTCCTTGTCCTGGTGTGGGCATCATGACTGGTTAAGGACCAAGGTCTTACACACCTTCTTGAGAGTATTGTCCTTATCTATGCTGACTGACCTCTTCCCCATGCTTCTCATCCAAACTTCTGTGGGGGAAAGTTACATTGCATTCCTCACCATCACCATTTGCTTAAAACTGCTCTATCCTGGCCAGTGGATCCTTGCAGATCTCACTGTATCGGGGTCCTCAGCAGCATTTCACACTGCTGACCATTCCTCTGTGGAAACCCTTGTCCTTCTTGGTTCCCAGGCCCTGACCTCTTGCTCTGGTTATTTCTTATTCTCCTTTGTGGATTCTGATCCTACCCAAGCTTTAAACGCTGAGATGTTTTCTAGGCCTTTCTACTTTGGGCCCCAATCTCTTCTACTTCAGGATACTCTCTGGCAGCCCCACTGTTAACCAGACCTGCAGTGTGACAACCTTCCATTACCTTTCCCTGAGACCTCAGAGGACACTGGCTCCCTTCCACTTGGTTAGCTCACAGTTATCCCAAACTAAGACATCTAAAACAGAACTAATGTTTCCCTAAACCTGCCCTTCCTGTGTTTTCAACCTTCTCTTCCTTTGTTTACAATAGTATGGCCATCCATTTGTCCAAACAACAAATATGGCTGCTCTTCTGTGCTTCTCCAACTCCATTACTACATCCTTCATCCATTCTCCAGCCCATACAGCCCAAGTCCTATTGACAGTATCTTTTCTCCAAGAGTAATTGTTTTTCTGAAGTTCAAATCACCATCCTTCTGGCTTCCTTATGAAAACTCCTCATATCCAGCTTTGACCCCTCCTCCAAACACATGCAACAAGGTGAATTTTCTAAGTACAAAGGCCAGCCATGTGACACTTCTCACTAGTGCCTGCCAGCTCCATTCTTAAGCATGGGTCACAGGTCCTTGGTGATCCAGCCCTGTCAGCCTCTTTCCACTCAGACTTTTCACTCCAGTAATGCCACATTGTCCATCCATTCAGAGCAACTTTTCTATGTACTATGGCAATCCTTTCCTTGCCTCTATAATTCTTACTCAGTCTTTAAGGATCACAATAGGAATGAATTTTCCCAAGAAATTCTGGGGGAGCAGTGGCCCCATCCTTCCCACAGCATCCCAATCTATTAGCTGCCTTTCCTCCTAAGGATTTACTATATGTCAGTCTACTCTGTCACCATACAACCTTCCAAAGAACAGTGGCCTGCCAGGTCTTCTTTATCTTCATATCCTGAGACTGGGGTTGCAGGTATAATTTGACTGCTCAATAGATGTGCCTTAAACTGAAATACACGGAAGTCCACAGAACACAACCACAGAATTCCTTCTCATCAAGTGTGTAGAGCAGGAGGGAAAAGAAACACACTGCTGAGCTCTTCAGATGTGCTAGACACTGGGCTAGGCCCTTTCTGGATATCTTCTAACTTAATCTTATCTAATCCTCTTAACAATTCAAGGGCAATAAGCTTAATAGCCTAATTTATAGATGAGGAAACCAAGCTCCCTGCTACACACTGGGTGGTTTTGATTCTGTCACAGTAAAGTGACTTAAGGGTGAGTCCATCCTGAACATTTCATGCAGGCACAGAGGCTTAAGAGACTCTGAGACCACAGACCTGCCAGCAGCAATCCCCCTCCCCACTTGCCAGGCCAGGATCCCCCCATCTCTGACCAGCACCTGCTTTTTCTGTTTCTCTCCAGCCATCCCAACCCAGGGCCCTGGCTAACAGCTCTAGGGTGAGGGCATGGGGACCTCACTGATCAGGGATCCTCCTCACCAGAGCTGAGGTGGTGGTGACAGTGACAGTAGCAGCTGTGGCCCAAATCTCTGCTTCACCTCAGGACGTCCCGCACAATAATACTGGGATCTTGGCACTTAGCGTTAAGGGGAAAGTGGGGAAGGCAGGCTCCAGACTGACCTAAAACCTTCTAGAATTCCATAGCTCTGTGAGCTCAGCTTCTGGAACCCGTCCCACCCTCTGAGCTCTGAGCAGCCCACCTGAGCCCCTCAATTTCAAGATTCAGGGGCATGTTAGGAGTAGATAATCCCAACCTTTTTGACCTGGTGCCACTTGCACACACACACACACACACACACACACACACACACACATACACAGTACTTTACTTTGAGAGATGACTCTCCTCCCTACAGACCCAGGCAAAGACAGCAGGTGCCCACTGCCTCAGAGCTGTCCATCTCACCACTAAACTCTTTTGCCTGGAGTGCAAGAGACAGGCACTAGTGAACACCAGCTGGGAGACCCAGAGAAAGTGGCTTAACCTCTCTGTTTCCTAATTCTCAAAGGAAAGACGACAACATCTACATCACAGTATAGTAAGAGAGCTCAATAAAGCATCTATAAAGTGCTTAGTCCTCAGGAATAGGGAATTAATAAATAGTAGCGATTACTACTAAAAGCCCAGCACAGCAGAGCCACAAATATGCTTCATTGCAGCCTGTCTGCCTGCCCCAGTCCAGGCCAATCAAGTCAGAAATGAACATACGAACATCAGTATCTTTTATTTTCCTTTGGAAAGGCTGTGACACACATACACACACACACACACACACATATCAAAATAAATACAGTTATGTTCCAATGATGATTTTTTTAAATGTATAAGAACACTTAAGAGGAAATCTCCCTCTTCACAGACTTTTTTTTTTTTTTAATTTTATTTAAGGAGAAAAGAAAAAAAAAGTACGGAAAGGGTACAAGTTATACAGATTTACAGAAAAAAAATGAACAGTAGGAAATCACTAGTTAATGGATTACATATTGTCATCTTAGAAATAATTGTTCAAGTCACAAAATTAAAGCTTGTAAAGTGGACATTCCATCAATGATACTGCAAACAGTTCTGTTCATTGATCCAATAAAACTCTGTGATATCATTTTCTATCTTATACACTTAAATATACATGCAGTTATATAGTTTGGAGCACTTTCTTTTCCTCTCTTTTGTACCATGACTATTACACATTTTGGATTTCATTGCTCCCACGGTTCTTATTACTTTTTTGGAAGAGAGTAAAACCAAATGTGACATAACAGAACAGAATCGGTCAAGTCAAAAGGGTGGACATAATAGATAATGTAAAAACATAATACAAGGTGATCAACAATGGTTACCATAATGCCTCCCGCTATCTCTAATAGAATTGCCTATATCGTTAGTTTTAATACAATTGAACAAAACAGTAAAGAATAAAACCGACAAAACCAAAACACTGGAGACATTGTAGGTCTTCAAAAGTAGATAAAAGTCAACAAGAATGGGCGTCATAATGAATCTCATCTTCACAGCTGATGTCTAAACTTTCGAACCTGATACTATCCAGCAAAACAGAATAGGGGAACATCAGTTAAAAACCAGATGGTGAGAGTAATACAGGGCTTTAAATCAAGGT